GAGGTCAGAAAGGAAAGATCTTCGGCAAAATGGACTAACACCATAACAGGCTTAACCCTATTAGTGATCATGAAGACAGTGCAGAATAGAGCAAGGTTCAGATCTGTTGTTCATACAGTCCCTCTAGAACGTAGTTGACTTGAGGACACCTAACAGTGTTTATGTGAAATTCCAAGAAAAGGAAAATCTACAGAGCTAAAACACAATGGTTGCCTGAGTATCAGGGTAGGAACAGTTAGTAACAGCAATTGGAGGGCTTGCAAGGTGATTAAATCTTAATATTCTAAAAATATAATTCTTCTATTGTATATTATTATATCCTAATATAAGGATGAAAGTAATGGCTATACGAGCAAGTACATTTACGAAAAAGCATTGTATTGTAAACTTACAGTGGATAGAACTTACTGTAAATTATGTCTCAATAAAACTGTAGGGGTGGGGAAGGTCAGAAAAAACCCAAAATTACATAGAAGATGACTTGACAAGTGTGACTAGGCACATTTTGAATATACCTGATTGTCCTGATGTGGCTTTAGCAAGGGTTAAACCCAGAAACCCTTAACTGTGGGGTGAACATCAAAATGGGAGTCCTGAAAAGACTGGCTCCAGGAGGCTGATGGAAGAGATGCCAGAAATGATGTCCTTTTACGCTCTGCTATGGAATGTAGGTTTTCCTCCAAACTAGCAAATCTAGAAACAAAAATTCGGTAGGGAACTTAGCATCATTAAAGAGACACACATCTAACATTAAATCAGGAATAGAACGCCTGGGATGATCTCTAGTCAAACTGTGTCATTTCCTTGTCACTTTCGGGGTTGTGTCATGTTACTGTGAGCAGCAGTAAAAACCCAAAGTGCTGGCCTTTGAGGTGGAGCGGTGAGTTCCACCTCACCGCTGTTAGTCTTAAGGGAAGTGGAGTTGCAAAAGGAAAGAAGACAGATACTGAGAGAGAAAAAAAATTAGGAAAAGGCATAGAAGTCCAGCTAAAGCTCATTGTTCCACGGGGCTCTGCTTCTGACCAGGGGATGTAGGTTACTTGCAAAGAACTGTTACTGCTTTGACATTTCTCTCATGTCAAGAGTGCACAGCTCAGTGGACTTCCTGTTTCAGCACAAGTGCCTGTTTCCATAATCCAAATGGTGTATTTTTAAAAAAAAATTATTTCCCCTACTGCCTGGTTTACTTCCCAAGACCCACTATGGCACTGGTATCAAGCCTCCCTCCACACACCAATGCTGAATACTCTTTTATCAGGAGCCCTGGACTGTGAGTGTAGATGCCTGGTCTCAGGTCTTGACTGTATCACCATTCCCTTGTAATAATAATGGAAGCAGACTGCTGGTCTTTTCTTCTGTGGTAATGCTGGGTGGGTTCAAACCCTTGACCTTTAAGTTAGCAGCTGATCGTGAACCATTTGCATCACCTAGAGACCCCATTTATATCCAGCATTTAAAAAAACAACAGGCGAGCTCTGGTGACCTAGTGGCAAGAAGCTGCACTGCAATCCCAGAGGAGTGCGGTTCAAATCCACCAGAAGCTTTGCTGGAGAAGGAGGAACAATCTCCTCCTGTACCAGTCAGATCCGATTTGACGGTACACACACACACACACACACACACACACAAAAAAAAAAAAAAAAAGAAAAAACAACAAACAACAGGAGGGGTGGGCAGGGAGAAAAGTGCAACAATAAAGGAATGGAAATCCAAAGTCTCTGTACATTATCATTAAAATTAATAATAATAATAATAAAAAAACACACAAAAAAAACCAAAACAACAAACCCAAATGACAAGAGGTGGAAATAACCCATGTGTCCAACAACAGATGACTGGATAAACAAAACGTAGTAATATTTGGTGCTGGAGTTGACTCACAGCCAAAGACTGTACATACACACCACAGACTGAAAGCTTGCCCAATCCTGTGCCATCTTCCCAATGGCACACTTAAGCCCACTGTTACATTACAGTCACTGTGCCAATCCATTACACTGTGGTCTTCCTCTCCTTTGCTGACCTTTCCAAGCAATGGCCCTCACGACAACTTGCCCAAAGTACCTGAGACAAAGTCGCACCATCCTTGCTTCTAAGGAGCATCCTGGCTATGCTCACACACACAAACGAGTCTTCAGTCCCAAAAAGGAAGAAAGTCAATGAAGCTCTGACACATGACACAACAGGGATGAGCCCTGAAAACAGTATGGTGGGTGAGTCACATAAGACCGGCACAAAAGGACAAATATTGTTATGATAGCAATTATACAAAAGATTCAGAACAGGCATGTTACACAGAGAACAAAGTTTATTAGAGGTTACTAAGGGTGGGTGGGAAGGAAAATGGGGTAGTTATTGCTTAGAGGGTATTGAGTTTCTGTTAAGGGTGATGAAAAAATTTGGAAACATGGTTGCATAAAATAGTGAACATGTCGCTGTATGGTACACATAATAATGATTAAAATGGCAGTATTCTGTTATAGATCTATTTTGTCACAATAAAACACAATTAAAATCAAGAAAGGGCAAGGTGAGGATATTGGGAGGGTTCTCTTTATTACTCTTTGGTTTCTTAAAACAAAAGACATGCTTTCTATAAATAAAAGGAGAGAAGGAAAACAACTGGGGAGGTGGACAGAATTCCTACCTAGTCAAGTGTGGTCAAGTCAGAAAGTGCGCCTTCAGCTCTCATCCTGGTTTTGATCTAAGGTGAAACCCAGAAGGTTCCGTGTGACAGCCAAGAAGGGGAAACGCCCAGGGACAGTGGGCACCTCATTGCTCTGCTCGGAACTTGGCAAGTGTCAGTCCTACTTCATTGTTCTGTCCTTTCCACAGCATCCTAGTGTGATGCTGTTCCTTCAGCGATGCTACTAGAAAGCTTCCCACACCAAAGAGCCAGGCCAGCTACGTGCAGCCAGCCATATGCCATCAGAATGAGGATCCGGTGAGAGTGTGAAAACGGCTGTTTGCTCACTTGTGCTCGGAAGCTTGACGTTAGTTGGAAACTTTGACCTCAGTGCAGCAGTCCATCTCCTGTACCAGGATGTGGGAAGGTGAGAGTGGCTTAGGAAGCCCATGCCAAGAACAGGGCTCCAGCCCCAGAGCGTGGGGAGTGGGGGTAATGATTGATCTATGCCCAGTTGCAAGCTTTGGGGCTCGTAGCAAAAGGACTGAGTGAGGTCCACTCACTAGCCCACTGATTAAATACCTTTGCAACTGAGATTCATCAGTGCGGCTTCAAATTCACAAAAGAAGGGCGTTTGTACTATTAAGACAAACACTGACATATTCCTCTCTTAACAGAAAAATGTGGAGCCTGACCTCCGTTCGAGTCTACCTCCGTAGGTAAACCCAGCACAAGGGAAGCACGCGTGTGGGATGCTTGGAGGAAAGAGTAAGAAATGCCGGAGCTGCACTATGAGCCCAGGTTAGACTATATCAGACTGTGAGTCTTTTAAAGTAATAATAAAAACACATAATTTTCAAGTGCTTGTAGCAGAGGCCCAGCTCCTAAGTTTTAGCTAACAAAGGTCTTTCCCTCTGAATGCATGGTGATTGCACACACTGGTAAACCTGAAGGTCTCTGCAGAGTATCTTTCTGGAGAGGCTTCCAGGCCACCTCAGGCAGACAGCAGACGTGGCGGCCAACCAGATGGAGAGCTGGGCCCCGAAGATCCAGCCTTGGGTTAAAGGGATCATTTCCCTTGTAGTCTCTACTGGAAGAATTTTATAAAACCAGATTTTGGCAGCAGCAGTTGAAGGATAAAGGCCTGAAGTACACCACAGACTTTTACAATTTTCTTTTCTTCCTCCAGCTTGTCCTGGCTCGATTACAGGAGGGGTGGAGACAGCTCCACCGCCCAGTGCACTGGAAAGTGGAGAGAGAGAGGGTCCTCCTGTTGGGGTCCCATTGTGTTACCCGAAGGTCCCACCAAGGGAGGAAGAAGAGGAGCAAAGAGTATAAAGACCCATTCAAGAGGTCATGTGCCAAGGTCAGAGGAAGAAACAGAAAATACTGTTCTTTGCAGCAGCAAGGGATTCTTTCGGCCTTTAGTCCTTTATGTGGTCAAGCCAGCTGTGCTTGACTGTAATGGTCCGTTTTGCTGGTTGGTCTGCCGAGGGCTGAAGGGAGGCCAGACCTCTGGAATTGGCAGGTGGATGGAGGAGCAGTGGACTGGCAGGGCAGATGAGGTTGCTAGACCAAGCCAGCTCCTGGCTGGTGGAAGGAGCAGGCCCCTGGTTAGGTACAAGAGGTACAAATGGTGAATGTGCCCTAGAAGTATCACAATAATTATCCAAGAAAAACTGATGGGAACGGGAGAATCTAGGCAGACCTGCTGTTTCCTGCTGGTCCAAAGGGGAAGAAGTGTGAGTGGGGGATGGGAGTGAGTCAAGAGGCGCCTCGAAGCTGGGGGCTCCTCGGGGGAGGACGGCAGTGATCCAGCAGACTGGCTGAAGCTGTGATTAAAATGTCCTCTGATGACGGGTGTGAAGACAAACCACACGAGCACCCATGGCTACAGGACCAGCGAAGAATGCACCGGTTCCAGCCGTGCTGGGGCACAGAAGGGGCCCCACGTGCTGTGTTGAGCCACAGGCCCCTGGGATCCGAAGGTGGGAGTGGACGTCGCCCTTTTCATGTTTGGCGGTTTTCCATTCAAACTCAGATTTACTGTTATGTGTCTTTTTTATATAGATATAATTATTTTTTTTCTGAGGAAAAGTTCACTTAAAAGAAGGATTTTCTTTCCAGTTTCTTTCAAGTGTTTTCTTGCTTCATTTCCCTTCCATTTCTTTCAAGTATTGTTTTATTTCCTCTTCTGTTTCAGACAGGAAGGGAAAAAAACGAGCTTCCCAAAAATCTCGAAACTCAGACACAGCGAAACGTCTGCTGAGCTCATCTCAGCAGCAGGATGGACCTTCCATGCTCCACAGTGGAAGGTGTGTGTGGTCGTGCGCTGTGCTGTGTACACTCGGCTGTATAACCACGAGGGAGAGCATCTTCTCCCAGCCACGATCCCCCGCTTCTGAAGAGCTTGGCCCCTGCAGCCATCTCAGGGCAAACTGGCCACAACATGGACAGATGGCAAGCAGGCGAGGAGTGTCAGGAAGCCGATGGCCCGCGCTGCAGTGGTGGTGGGGACCCGGGCCTGGACGCGGCCTGTGCCGGCACAGACCAACAGGAGTTCCACGTCACAAGCTGCCAGGACCCGGAGGGGCTTCGGTCCCATGCTGTGTATCTCGATGACCCAGGCCTGAAGGTCACAGGGCAGCACAGCAGGGAAGGCTTCAGCACCTGAAAAAAACCGTACCTCCGCGAGCTCACATCCCACCCCACCTTCTAGTCGGCCGCCTCTCTGGATAGAGAGGAACTCTTCCTAGAAGGAAACCCCTATGTTTGGACCAGGTCCTGACCCCACCACGTCCCATCCTCTGTCTTAAATGGTGAGGAGAGGGATGCAGCCCACACCAACCCCGCCCTCATGACACGCCATGGGAGCCATAAATGTCCAGCGGTCCGTCTCTGGGTCGTACATCTCCACCGAGCTGAGATTCGACTGTCCGTCGTAACCGCCCACGGCATAGAGGCGCCCGCAGCTGGCCACGAGGGAGACCCGGCTCCGGCGCGTGTGCATGGGCACGATCAGGCACCACTGGTCCGACACCGAGCTGTACATCTCGGCGATGCTGAGGAAGCCCGAGCCGTCGTAGCCCCCGCAGACGAACATCTTGCTGCCCAGGGAGGCCGCGCCGTGGCGGCAGCGCTTGTTGAGCATGCCGGCCGCCGGGTGCCAGGTGGCCGTGTGCTGGTTGTAGTGCTCCACCTACGGGGACAGAGGCACCGGGACGGGACTGTCAGAGCCAGCGCGCACCCAGGCGGGTCCCAGGAGATGGCTGAGTCCAGTGGGTGGCCTGGAGATGAGCTGCCACTCCAGCTGGACACCTGCTCTGGGGCTCACAGGGGCAGGGGAGAGGGCCCGAGTCCTACCCCTTTGTCCACATCTGAAGGGGATGTGCCCCAGGATGTACCAGAGCCAGCATGACAGTGGGGTCTTCTGCGTAGGGGGCTTACCATGTTATTATTAGCTGACTCGACGGAACCACAACTCAATGGCAGAACCGTTTTAAGAAGAAAAAAAGTAATTTTAAGCAGATTATCCAGAATAACTCATGTATTTGCAAATTTACTTTCCATGTGTGAAATTACTCTGGGCAGGGGTTTCACAGCTCTCACTGGCCTACACTGGACAGCTGAAAGTGGGGGGTGGCTACACTGGACCCTGCCCATGGGTACTGGCCCGGCACCCTTCCTTTTTCTAAAGGAGTTTGAAAATTTCAGCGCATGCAGCAAATGACCTAAAACCTCACTAGATGATGCCTTGTTCAGCACTAGCAAAGCTGGTGCTTTTTCAGACAATTCTTTAAGGATGGACAGAGGAGGTGCCCTCAGCCCAAGAGCAGCCCAGACTTACACTGTTGAAGATTTGCAAGCCGTCATGGCCTCCCGACACGTATATCCTGCCCTCAAAGACAGTAACCCCAGCAGCACTGCGATTTGAGCTCATTGGGGTCACCACAGTCCACCTGAAGGAGAATCAAAATAGAAGATGAGAGTCAGTGTTCTGTCCTCCTGGGACTGCACAGTGGCGTTTGGGCGAACCTCACTCCCTCGATGAGCTTGGGCTGTCTCCTCCTGTCCCCCACCCCTGCTGACTGTGCCGTCTGGCTGCGGTCTCTTGGTGTAAGCTTCAGGCTTAGAGCCCGTCTTTCTGGCTCACTGCTGTGGGCACTCAAAATCAGCACACTCCAAACAAGGCTTTGCTCTCCTAACATTTCTGTTCTCTCCCTGCATTCCCTGGTCTTGTTAATGGGACCACCAGCTAGCTTGTGGCTGTAATAACAAAACTCAAGTGTTTTCTTTGGCTTCTTTTCTCTTAGTCTTGACATTCTTGTGGTCATCAGCTCCTGATGAGTCTGCCTGCTAGTCATCACTTGTTCCCATCCTCACTGCCAGGGCCCCAGTCAATCGTCTGGACCACTCTTCCTCCTTAGGAGTGGTCTAGCTTTTGGACCACTCCCATCCTGACCCTGCACAGCTAGAGGCATCACTGCCAGATGTTCTCCAGCACCACCCTCCTCCAGTGACTCCTCATGATTTACTTGAAGGCACAGCCCAAGTGCCTTGATGTGGTTCTTTACCACCTGGCCCGCGCCTACTTTCCAGCTTCATTCTGGCCACATGCCACTGCTGCCTGCCCCATCGGCCTCCCACATCCCATGCTCCTGCCCACAAGCTGATGACACTTGATCATAACTGAGCCCCTTCTCATGTCTAGGCTGCTCTTCTTGCCGTCTCCCTGCTCGCAACGCACAGCTCCCACTGTCCACCACATGAGTCTATTTTCAGAAGATGCTGGTCTCCCATGTCTCTCACCCAGACCCCCGGAAAGATGAAGGTGCTCCCCACTCTGCACTCGGCAGCTCTGGACATGGACCTTCAGAGTTCCTGCGGCCTTAGCAGACCACACACAGACCCTGGATACCCATTCCATTGTCTGAGAGGGAGCTGACTAAGTGAATGGAATGATACTGACTTAACAGCAACCGGATAATACTATTCGACTAGTTGGCTTATGTCATGTAATATCATCAAATTTCATGTACTGAAAAAACTGAGGCTAATATTACCAGTGTTTTTAATAAGACACTAATTCTACAACATAGTAAAGGTATTATTAAAGATATTAGGTTAAACAGGTGTCTTTACATAAGAATTTCCCAGAGCCTCTAAAATAGTATATATATTAAAGAAAAACAGATTCTGGTGGTATAGTCTTCATTTATCAAACTTATTTCCCTCTTCCCAGTCCATCAGACATGCACATCTATTTGTTAAGTATAACATACACCATGTCTGATCGTGCATTCACTTCACACTTCTTCTCCCTCTATTCCAATAAAGCGCTGTCTACCATTCATTTCCTACTCTTCCCTCCCCCCCATAACCACTGGGTCTGTCCATATGTAAACCTTTCTCTAGTTTGATTTTTTTTAAAATAACAGTCATCTTATACAGTGTTATTGTCCTTATACACTGTATCTGTCCTTTTATGACTTATTTCACTCAGTTTAATGTCTTCTAGACTCACCCATGCATCTAATGTTTCCTGAGTTCTCCATTGTTTTTCAATGCTATGTGTGAGTGGATCACAGTTTAGTACTTTGTTTCTTGGTGGGCACTTTGGCTGTTTGCCTCTCTCCGCTATTGTACATGATACTGTAATAAACACGGGTGTGCATGTGTGCTTGAATCACAGCTTTGGATTTCTTAAAGGGGTACTCCCAGGAGTAGAATAGCTAGATCAAATGGTATTTTTATTTTCAATGTTTTGAAGAAATGCCGAACTGTCTTCTGTCGTGATGGCACCATTTTTCATTCTCACCAGCTAACTTTTTACTCCCTGCCCCAAAACCATCTACTACTCACTTATATGACACTGAAGATGTTGCTCATCTATTTCTCAGCCCCTCTCAACTTTATTTACATAAAATGGGCTAATTTAGTTAAGAGACCAAGAAAAAATGTTTTCGAAATGTCTATAGTTATTCAATCAACTGTTATTAAACACCAAGGTTCTGTAATAGGATTGCTATGAGTCGGTGTCGACTCGACAGCATCTAACAACAATAACAGGCAGAGTACTAGAGGGTTAAAAGGGAAGGCATTCTCTACCCTTGAGGAGCATACATAAAACGCTGCAGTTCTAACTTCTCCTGTTCTCTGTTTAAGAAGTCCCAGGTGCCCAGGGCAGCCACTGTCTTACTTGTCCGTCTCAGGTGAGTAGGTCTCCACAGAGTTGAGCGATGAGTTGCCGTCGTAGCCCCCACAGACGTAGATCTGCCCATCAAGCACAACCGTCCCCATGGCACTGAGAGAGACACAGCTGTCAGTCAGGACAGGCCCGAGGCTCCATGCTTACCAAAAAAGACATCCACCCATCAAACCGCCTCTTTCTAGAACAGCCCCATACTTACCAGGAAAGACATCTACCCATCACTACCTCTTTCTAGAAAAGCCCTAAAGCCCAGATGTAAGACCAAGTAAAAGTGGGAAATAAAGGGGGCAGAGCCTTCCTGTGAGTCCTCTCACCCTCCAAGTCTCTATCCTGGGATCTACCTTCTCTTACTGTCTCTTGATTTGTCTGAAATGCTCATCTTGCTGAGCTGGGGGGTCTAATTTATAGTCAAGGTCCTGGTTCTCTCCTCTGAGAGAACATGCTGCTCCGAGAGAGATCTGACTTGGATATAAAGCAAACCGACTCCCATGTTCTTCCCTATGACAGACTCTCACAATAGCAAAGTCCTGGTGGGCATCAGGCAGTCTTCCTTGTACACATGCCTTTTGTGAAATTCAGGATGAATTCTAAGCTGCCTAATTAACTGTATTTTAACCTAGTGCTGGAGAAGAGTGAAAATGAATCTGAGTGTAAAATAAGCAGGAAAAAAGAAAATATATCAGGCTAGTTGCCACTTTTCAAGTGTATCCACATATGATCTCATCCGATCCATACAATGTCCCTTTGAGGGATGTGGTAACGGATCTCCTGAGCAAGTCCGGAAAAGGGAGAGGACCTGTCTGAGGCAAGGACTCTGGGAAGATTTGCTGTTCTAAGTACAGAAACAAAATAAACATGGCGATTAAGTACTAATACACGACGGCACTGAGCAACAATAAGAGTTCAACGGCAGTGTCACAAGAGGGAAGTAAGAGAAGCACACAACTGTACGACACGAACTATCAAGTAAGTGCTGAAGACAAGGATGGACGAAGACACAGGAGGACAGAGACCAGGGAAGGCTGGAATAGTCCGTGTGACGGAGCTTCTCAGAGGGGGTTTGGGACAACTAGGAAAGAGGGGAAGAAGAGAGACAGCAGGAAGGAGGTTGTAACCAGATGTCAGGGACAGGCAGCTGTGTGGACTGTCCGGAGAGGGGTGACTAAGAACACTCTAAGGTAGCCTATATTTAAAGGGGGTGAAATGAAGGTGGGCCCACACTACTAATAACAGGGCATTAACCACAGCAAGAAAAAAAAAAGGAATACCCGGGGGTCATTCCTCCCAGACAACACTCCAGACCCAGGGACATCAAAGCGAGGAAGTGGCCCAGCGCAGCCACACAAGGAGGAACCACTGATCACAGAGCAAGCCAGCCAGCCACTCTGGGCTGGAGATACAGAGCATGACTACCAAAGTTCAATGCCACAGACACCTGCACAGTAACCAGGGAGCAGGAAGGAGGACACAGCAGCGGGGGGTGTGCGTGGCAGGGGAAAGCCGTGAGAACATTAGAACATGGGGGTGAGAGAAGCAGTTTATATATGCACATCAACTTTCTATGTAAACAATCACATATATACATATACATGTAATTTCTTTTTCCTTCTAGGACAAAACTCACTCTGTGAAACTGGACTTACTGGCACATTATTTTCCCAGCCTGTTACCACATATAAACACTGCTGAATGTGGAAAATGTGTGTCATGGCCTCTACCCTCTTGTGGGGTGCGGCCCTTTCACACTAACTTTTCTTTCTCGCCACAGTGAGTAGAACCCAAAGTACGGTCAGGCAAAAAGGAGAGTGCTGAGATCACAGAGCTATAAGCAGGAAGGCCCCTGGACAGCATCTGGTCAAGTGGTTTTCAACCCCCTTCCTTCTTAAATTCACATAGCTTTTTCTCCCCTGGCCCCTTACTATTTTGTCCATGTCAAGAAAACTAATGCAAATATACAAAGAGATAAACGTAGAGCTTCTGGTTAAATGGACGGGGTCCCTGGGCTGCTTTGCTCCGAGGCCAGCCTTCTAAAGACAGGGTCATTTGAAACCACTCATCAGGTGCGGCCTCACTGAAGACGGAAGAACAGAAGAACTTGTCAGTTAAAACCCTTGAGCTCTTCAAAGCTCATGCCGCCCAACTGTGTAATCATTCAACCACAGGTCTAAGTAAGGAGAGATGTGTTAGGCACTCAGAAGGCTAAATGGAGCACTACTTGGATGTCCTCTAATCCCACCACTTATACAGGGCATGTGTGTGAGCAAGTGGCGGAGGAAGCAGTTGCTGACATGATGTGAAGTGATGACACGCCCTGGCGGATATCTCCGTGCTCTAGGCTCGGGGGAACGTGTGGGGACCCGGACCAAAGCAGCACTGTTTTGGTGCATATGATCTCAGAGTGGTGGAAGCACATGTGTGGCAGCGGTCCAGGGGGAAAAAAGTAAGAGAAAAGCCTCTTAGATTCCCTTTTATGTCTAATAAAAGTTAAACCCTCCTCATTCTGTTTCAACTTTCATCACTTCTCTAAAATCTTCCAGATATTCTAGTGTTTCTCAAATCTTCCAAAACACAAATTTCCCATTCTTAGCACTTACATAACAACACAGTTTTCATGTCTCATCTTGCAACGTTCCTGAGAGGATAAGGCAGGTAATTTGCTATTAGGCAGATAGGGGCTCATTTCTAGGAGACGCCCACAGTGGCTGGCCTTGGGCAGGAAACTCGCAGGCCAGAACCTGGGCTTTACACTTATCACAGGCCCCTCCCTGCTAATCCGGCAAGGTCCTCCCGGGTGGCCAGTGTGTACAGCGGGGCTACACAAATGGTTTCCAGAATACCTTCTCTTGCTATTCATGCTCCCCACTCTGGTCCAGGTGTCCGTCTCGGGGTTGTAGACCTCCACTGTGCTGAGCCGGAGCTGGCCGTCGTAGCCCCCGATGGCATAGAGCAGCCCGTTCACCACAGCCACACCCACGCGGCTCCGCGCTGTCGTCATGGGATGGCACTTCTCCCAGCGATTGGCAATGGGGTCAAACACTTCCACCACATTCAGGGAATCACCTGCATAAAAATTTGCTACTCAAATTAAAACACATGAGGCCACATGTTTAGATCAGCTACTGAGTGTTTAAAAGTGAGCTCGGGTCGCAGAGTCTAGCTGTAAGCCTGGCCGAGGTTCTTTGGTGGTTTCAATCCGTCAGTGGGAGAAGGATGGGCAATCTCCTCTGGTGCAATTTATAGGCTCCCAAACGTCGGCTGAGGATCAGCTATGACTTGGTTCAACTCCTTGTCAATGACTGACTTTGACTTGATTATTTAGAAGATTTGATTTGATCCTATCAGCTCATCCCACAGAATTAGTGAAACAAAAAAGGATCCATTAAGTAATTTCAGCTATGATGATCCAACCCAATTCTTCTGGGAAAATCGGAATCGGACAGAAGAGTCTCTTTCTAGGAGGGCAGTTTTCAGTCATAACCAAGTACTCTAACTGGAAAGCTCAAGATGAACACTAACCAAAACACTATTTACCCCATTTGGGAGGTACGCTCAGAGGAAAAGGCACAGGATCCAAGGGTGAGTCTCATTTACTAGTGCGTGACCCTGGGCAAGTAATTTTGTGTTAGATCCTCTGTTTCTCAACGTGAAGTGGAGATAATCTCCATCACAGAGCTGCTCTGGGGATTATACAGCAAGTAAACCACCACCAAGCATGGTTTTGAAATTCACCAAAGCACCGGTTATGGTGGATTCTGACTCCTGGTCTCCCCACCAGAGCAACAGAGTGAAAAACTGAGCTATAGAGAGTTTTCTTGGCTGTGATCCTTCCAGAAGCAGACTAAGCCTTTCTTCCAGGTGCTACAGGGTGGGTTTGAACCATCAACTTTCAGTTTAGCTCACAATCACAAACCATTTGTGCCACCTAAAAGCCCTAAATGTACCAGCCAAGCCACGTCAACATCCCTCAAGTCAACGCTGACTCACAGCGTGCCTGCAGGACAGAGCTGATGGCCTCACCAGACTCCCAAGCCTGTAAGTCGTCACCGGAGCAGACCACTTGCATCGTTACCTCTTGCAACCACTTGGGAATTTGAAACACTGACTGTTTGGCTCAATACTCAACCTTCCACACCACCATCAACATAGAGAGAGAGCAGCTGGCCCAGTGGACAGAGAGTGATGCTACCAAGCCAAAGGTGGGTGACTTTTAATCTGTGGCCCTCGGGCCTGTCTTTCATTGTGTTTGTTCAGACATTCCTCTAGGTCGTTTAGCCCTGGTGTACAAGTCGCCGTACAGCGGTAACTTGTGGTTGCTGTGAGGCTAAACACTGTGACACTGACGTGTCAAATGCGTTAATGGTTGGTTACCCACTGTGGACAGAGTGGGGTGGAGCTCCCCGATTAAAACAAGCTTGGAAGTAGGAGTGGCATCCACTTCTGTAATAGCTTGCCTCCGGAAACCCTATGAACCTGGAGAGAGGATGAAAGACACCTAAGCGTTGAGGACTCTCCTTCATAGGGTCGCTATGAGTCGCCTGAGACGTGACAGCACTTAACAACAACCACCACCACCATACCACCCAGAGTCCACTGAAATCTGAAGTGTTCAATAAAGAGTAACTGTTATAGCAAGGGGAAAAAGTGATCACACTGCAGTCATTCCTTTCTCATCAGGGTTTTGTGAAGATCAAAAGAACTAAGTGCCCTCGTTGTTCTATTCTGCTTTGGAGTAAGTATGCCTTATCCTCTCGAGACCATACAGCTAGCCAACAGCAGAGATTAGAGCACTGGTCTGGATTTATTCTGGATCTGTCATTCTGTTATTACATATTATTCTGTCTATACCTTTAATGAAAAAGACGACTGCTTACCAACTATACACCTGGATGGACAGAAATAGAAAAAAAGATAGACAATCTCTTCTTGTGTGATTTACAGGTTCTGATAACCCAATGGAGGGTCAGCTATGGGACAGTTCTATCTTGGTGGCCATGAGTTCAGTTATGTCACTGTAAGAGCTCTGGTGGCAATGTGGGCTGAAAACTGAAAGGACGGAGGTTCAAACTCACCAGTGGCTCTGCAGGAGAAAGATGAGGTCAGCTGTTCTGGCAAAGATTACAGCTTTGGCACTAACACTCCAGAGATAAAAATTTCTTAGAAAGAATAACCACATATGAACAAAGGGCAGCATCTGCCCATAGACAAAACTCAGAAAGAAGGAAAAAGCAGACAGAAGAACTAATGGAAATCACAATCACAGGATGAAGTGAGAAGGGCCCACCCACCACGTTGTTGGTTCTGAAATCAGTGAAATAAAGCAAAAAGTATATGAACGGCTTTGTAAATCTTCAAAGGGGAAAAAATAAGTTATGTTCGTGGCCTTGAACTGTGCACCTTTGGGATTGCAGCACAACTTCTTGCGACTAGGCCACCAAAGTTTCCTATCCAGGCAAAGATGACAGTCTTTTTCCTATAGGCATTTCTACTCTACAGGGGCACAATGAGTTAGAATCGACTTGCTGGTACTGGGTCAATGGGTTTATGCCACTGTATTACAGATTAAGATGTCCACATGGTCCTCTATACTAAGTCTCTGTTGCCCTGATGTGGGCAGGAAATGGGAACTGAAGGAGTGTTCCAAAAACCTTGGCAATTGCACATGGATTATAAAGTATGCGTGTGTCGCACTTACCTCTTTGTAAGTTTATTTATCAAGATAAGGTAAGGAGACAGTATTGCTGACTGAGGGAGACCCTGTGCATCTGGAGAATTTCCCTTCTAATGATGACATTCTTTTACTCTAAGCCAAGAGTTGTGTGACCCGCTGTGACTGGATTAGTAAGGGCACTGGGTCTCCAATGGTACCTTACCCAGAGCTAGTTAAGTGCTGTGAATCGATCCGATGTTAGGCACAGTGTGCTGATTCAGGCACCAGGACACCTGAGCTCTGCCAAAGCCATCCAGGCGGACAGAGGAAAAGCACTCTGGGTCTTAATTTCTCCACTTGTAAAGAATCTCTAGCAGCAGCTAGCCTTTAGCACTGGTATTCTGACTCGATAGTATTAAAATCTAACGTGCTCTAACTGTAGATCACAAAGAATCAAAAGGGACAAGGGTGGTGGCAGCAGCAAGGAAAAGAACTAGGGGCCTGGGCTATCTGTTTGGTGCCCACCAAGTCCAAGTCCAAGATTTGCAAAGGGGAGTTGCAAGATACCTGCTGAGTTGAGGCCGCCCACGGCATAGATAAGGCCAGCGATGGACGTGCAGCAGCGGGGCCGAGTTCTGAAGGCTGGCAGGTGGGGCCGGCGCTCTGGCATGAGGTGATAGTCCTTTGCTTCATCTACCAGGTCCCTGGAATGAGGGGCAAGATGCTAGGTGGTCCACATACATGCTATGAGGTTGGCCCCCCTCTCCAACAGTAGGGGAACCCTGAAAGGACAAAGCTTCTGGAATGTCTGGTTTCAAAAAAACCCATGTGAGTTCTGGGGAAGCCACACATGGCTGCTGGGACATGCTCAGAACTGGAGGATAAGACAGAGTCCACTTCGGCTAACGGAGTCAAAGTAACTACCCTCTAAAAGGCACATACTGGATACCAGAAACAGAGGACGGTGTCTCATGGCTGGTCTGCGGTTCGACAACAGTCCGCACTGTCTCCACTGGATCCAATCCTTTGCTCTATGGCTGCCCCAAGGCTCGTATCATGTCACTTTACCATTAACCATTTTGCATGTAGACAAGTGGTAGCAGCACTCAGGAGTTCCTCACAGTGCCCCCTCCCTCCACTCTCCCTTCCAGACTACAGTCTGAGCTGTCTTTCCAAATGCAGAGCCACCAGGTGGCTCCTTGCTGAAGAGCCGTCAGCAGCAACCCACCAGAATCAAGTTCAACCCCTCCACGGTGCCACTGAGACTGCCCATTACAGGGCCCTCGCTACCTCTAGGCACACCTCCACCTGACACACACCTTCACTGCTAGGGTTGGAAAACAATGGGAGTCTCCAACTATGGGTAAAATAGTACCTCTAGGCACACCTCCACTTGACACAGACCTTCACTGCTAGGGTTGGAAAACAATGAGAATCTCCAACTATGTATAAAATAGTACCAGTAAAGGAGAAACACCTCCCTGTTATGAAAATGACAAGCAGTGCTGGGAAAATGAAAATCTTTCTCTGCTGACCTAATGTTGCAACAATCTTCCTATAGAGCCCTCGTCTCCTGCACTGTCTCTGTGGCTCTGCCCTGCCCCGCTTTCTGATTTACTCTGGCTAGTGCTGGCGCTCGTCCTCATTCTCCTTACCCATCACTACGCATGTGGAACTCCACACTCACTTAGGACTAGCGAGGAGGGAAAGTCCTATTTGCCCCATGAAGTCGGCTGCCTGTGTGGAAATAGCCAGGGCCTCTTATTGGCTTGGAGCTCCACAACAGGTCAACAGATGACGATAACAAGGAAATCCTCACACAACTTTGGTGAGGAAGCTCCTTCTGTCTTGATGTTCTCATATGACACATTTCTCAGCCTAAGGTATTAAGACTCAGGTTCTGAAAACCTTAGCCAGGGTTCCAGATAGAAGGCCGATCAGTCCTTATGCCATGACTTTGCGGCTCACTCTAAGCCCTTCCTCCTGAAACGGAGCAGAAGTAGTTGAAGCTGCACACTTACTCACCTGCATTTGTGGCAGCAACGCACCAAGTCATCCTGTTGCACTCGGTCCGACAAAAACTGGGGTCGGCAGAGAGGCAGGCGGATATTGGACAGCAGCTCGGGCAGGCAGGCTCCCCTCTGCTCCCGGTCGTACCTGATCCAGGCAAGTGCAGCCTCAAAGACCTACGAGAGAAGGGGATACTGGTCACCGGGGCAACTCCTCCCAACTAGAGGCCACTTCCTGCACGCTCCAATCTCAATCCTCCACATCTCCTCTGAGACAGGCCTGTGGGCCAATTCATCCTTCCTCCTACTTGTCTCTTGAATCATGCTTTTTCTCTACTTTCCAGGTCCTCCAGGCTCCTGAAACACAGGCCATGGCTGCTGTAGAACTTCCTGGATTTGAGGATCACATCTTCATGAGAGGTTCCTAGGGCTTTCTTAGTCTTTTCTGCATCTCACCAAAATGCTACCCTCTTCCTCAATCACACTTACCTGGAAAGAAATTTCTATCCTCTTCAAGTCTAGCTTTTTAAATTCAAGGCACCCCTGCCTCTGGCCCTGCATCAGCACAGAAGCTAACAGAAACCACAACAGAAGCAGCCAGTGCACGTTCAATTCATGGGCGTTCATTCTCAGGTAGGGCCTGCTTCCTACCAAGGCCTCCCCATCTCCCCAGCAGCACCCACTATTCTCCCCTTCACCTAAACGATGATTCTATACCTTTTTATCTCTTCTCCAGTCCCTAACACTTCTCCCTCATCCTCACTCTGAACTGAGAAAACAGAAACAAAGCACAAGACCATGTCCACAAGCCCCTACCCTCTCCCCCTGCTTCCTTTTCAGCCGGAGTCCACATCTGTCTCCCGCCCGCTGCAGCGGATGAACAGCCTGGGCTTCTATCAGACAATCCCCTTTGGCCCTAGATCCTGTCTCATCTTACTCATTCCCTCCTTGCCTGCATTACCAAGCCTTCTGAAAAATATTCTCCAGAAGTCAAATATGCATTAATTTATTCCACCTTAAAACAAACAAACCCTCTTTTGACTTTACCTTTGCCTTTAGCATCTATCCCAACACTCTGCTCTCCTTAGAACTAGACTCTAGCAAAAAATTCTCTTTAGTTGCTATTTCCAGTTCACAGCAGAATTACTTCTAAAAACTAAGTACTAGAAATCACTCAAGCATCTAAGACCAAGGAAATTAAAGTTGAAAGAAATCCACAGAATCTTACTTAGGACACTAACATAAAGCATATTCATGGAAAAACATGTATAGTCAAAAGGCCCCTGAGGACACAGCTGTATACAATTTTAACTTTGCAAAAACAACGTGTAAAAACAGACCGAAGATGAGCAGTGTGTTCTTTGCCACAGCCCAGGTGCTACGGCCCGTACATACTTGCTCCTCCGACTTTACATTCAGCTCGTCCCGAGACACCAGCTCAAGCACGTCTTCCAAGGGTAGGGCCAGGAATTCCTCCGACATGGACACCTCCACAAAGTGCTGGTGGATGAAGCTGTTGGCGGCATCATACAGCACGGCGCACATCATTGTCTCGGCAAACTGGCGCACGCCCAGACAGTTCTTGGGGTGAAGGCTTTTAGCATAAGGAAAGACAAAGGGGGGAGAAAATTAAATTAAAATTAAAGGGAGGAAAGAAAAAGTGATCTTAGACCCTTCTCTGATTGGTTTTGGGTTGTCAGGTGTTGTGTTCTGTGTTGTTAGGTGCTGACGAGTTGACTACGACCCACAGCAATCTGAACTTTGCCCTCTCCTGGTTCTGGCAGAGCCACAGACTGAAATTACCTTAGCTTTAGGAGAAATTAATTTCTTCTAGGACATTAGGTGTGTGACCTGGACTTCAGCTTCTATATATAAGATTATCCTCAAAGTTCTTAGCCTCTGAGACTCAAAGAGGCACATGCTCTCTGGAAAGTGTCCTCCTGGAAAGACCTGGGAGGTAAGTGCAGGGGAATCTGTTGGCCTTTGTCAGCCAGTGCTTGGCTATATGACTGAGGCGTCACCACACCCCTGGTCCCCAGAAGGGCACTGAAGGTGTGACTGAGTCAAGGACTGTTCCAGCCTTTTATATACATTCTCCTACATCATTTTAACCACTCTGCAAAGTGTAACTATCCTTACAGTATAGGTGGAAGACTGGGGCTCAGAGAAAGTAAGAAATTGCCTCAGAGTCCTACAAACAAGCATTGGTGCTGAGACTGAACCCAAACCTTTCAGGTCTGCTCCCCCGAAGACCTCTGTTCACTGAGGCCAAGGACACCCCGGGAAACCAGGTCCTGCCCCACAATGGACAACTCTGGCTGGATTCCTTAGGTTCCCCGGGTGTCAGCAGTTCCCTCACCTGTAAACCAGTGATGACACTGACAACCTACCTTCTCAGCTAGTGGCCATGATTAAGTAACAATGCAGGTAGAAGTGTGCACCATGGTGCCGAGTGTGACGCGAGCGGCTGCTTTAGTTTTTATTAGAGCCATTTTCCTTATTACCGGTGCAGCTGAGAAAATGCTAAATCAGCCCGGAGTGAGTTGGAAATCCTTGTGACAGGAGATTCGAGGGAGATGAGCCTTTTCTTAAGTTTGATTTTGTTACTGACAATGGAGGTGCTATTTATCAGATTAAAACTGCTCAGCTTAACTTTTTTTCAACAGAATATTTTTTCCCCTTTGGTGATTTATGGTAACCGGTACAGACATCTACTTACTAAACAGTATGTACCAAAGTCCCTCAGAGCCCAAGAACGTAGGGTACAAATCAACAGGCAGTGGACTGATCAGGGACTGAAAGGACAGTGTTCACAGAGCCTGGCTTAATGACTGGGGTAAATGCTACAAAAATGCTTCGTCCTACTGTGAACTTGCTCTGCCCCTGACTTGGAAATCTACATGAATTTCAAAAGCCAAGAAAACCTGAGCACTGAACACCCTGTGTAAGCGAGGAGGTTACATAAAATATAAAGCTCTACCCCCAGTCATCTAGCTAGCCAGAGACAGGAAGCAGTGACTCGAATGAAAGAAAGTTTTGGCTGGGTTCATCGATGCCTCTGATGTTCCACTCTCGGTCTGAGAGAAGAGTTTTGGAAAATACAGTCTCACCTAAAACAAGGAGGCCCATACATCTGAAGGCTGGGAAAAGGGCCACTAGGAAAAATCGCTGCCAACGGCAGGTTTAAAAATAAAAAGGCAGCAAGCTAAAGGTCTCCCAGTCAGCGAGACTTCAGGAGTGCTCTGAGAAGGTGAATGTCTTTGCAGCTTCTCTGTACTCTATTACGCCCTGTCTCTTCCATCACGGCTTTAGTTCCTAAGTGGACTTTAGTTCCTAAGAATGGGCTTTGAGCAATCACATCTTGAAACTGAAGGCTGACGTGTTCACGTTCAAAGATGCATAAGAAGAAGGGGGCAGAGGAAAGCCATCACGTTCGAGGACTGCCTGAGGAGCAGGGGCTGTGAGGGTAACTACTGGAGAGGAAGTACAGAGCAGGCCAAGCTCTCAGGCCTGGATCACCACCGAGCAGAGGTCCGGGCCTCACCAGGCTCTTGCAGGGCTGAACTTAAAAACCATCAAGAACAGACTGAGAACATCAGGCATTAGGATTAGGCTTAAATGCTAGCTCCCAGAGGGGCACTGGTTTAAAAAGCCCTCTTCTCAGCATTTTTTAAGGTGACAGTACTTTAGAACACTGGCAGTGATAAATAACCTCAATGGCCCCTAGGTGGAGCTGTTGTCCTCTGGGTGAAGGTGTGAGGAGGATACATTTCATCATCTCCAGTCTCTACCAGTCAGTTCCTGAGTGCAGTTAATGTCCTTGCCACTAACCAAAAGGTCTATAGTGGGTGTGTGTGTGCGCGCGTGCGCGTGCCTATCCAGAGGACCCTCAAAACAAAGGCCTGGAGATCTACTTCCAAAAAAGAAGCCACTGAACCGGTATGGAGCAGATTTCTTTTCTGACATAGATGGAGTCATTAGAATGGACTCAAGGGAGTGATATGGGGGGAGGGGTGGGCAGGGAGAAAAGTGCAACAATGAATGACTGGAAATCCTAAGTCTCTGTAGACTTTCATTAAAATGAATAAAAAATTATATATATATATAAAGAAAGAAAGAGGGAGGGAGGAAAAAAGGAAGGAAGGAAGGACGGACGGACGGACAGGCTCAAGGGTAGTTTGGTTTCGGTTCATTAATCATAAGACCATTCTCTTGGTTCTGTGAGAGCTAGGGTGTATGAGCTCACTTTCTCTCATGCATCCCCCAGGCCCAGCCCAGCCCCGGGCAAGACTTCCGCTTGGCCTGGGGCTCTTACTCTCACCATGCTGTCTCTGTCTGCAAAACCAGGAACAGTACCACTTAGAGCCCCAGATCGCTCAGCCAGAAACCACATGAGCACCGCTGCATCCCAGCCTTTCGACGACAACTGTCATTTTAACAGTCGTGCTCAAGTGATGCCCAGGAGCTTCATGTGGGCAGGAGGTGGCAGGGCTCATAAGAGCTGCTTGGTAAGTGGAGGAGAAATGAGAGTCAGCTCCAAGAGGGGCTGAGGTCCAGGATGGCGGATCTGAATGAGGAGCGAGGAATGCTGGTGAGCAGAGTCGGATCAGGTGGAGGGGGGCCTGAGACGGCACTGCAGAGGTACTGGTGCCCACGTGTGGTTAAAGGCCCTCAACCTTGGGACTAAGAGCTCTGCATCTTGAGGAGGAAGAACATTTCTATTTGCTCAGTCATCCAAAGGTCATGGTCAACAAACACTACGATCACTAGCTATTAAAGAAAGACAAAATAAAACAATGAAGTATCAGCTCACCCCAGCAACAACAGCAAAGTTCAAGACAATAAACAAACTTGGCAAGGGTGTGGTGAGTTTAGAACTCCCCTAGAACAGCGGGAATGTAAAATGGTGCCACCACCATGGAAAGCACTTTGGCATTTCCTTAAAAAGTTGAAACTTAAAAAAAAAAAAAAAAAGTTGAAACTTGAAATATTATTTGATCCAGCTAGTCCACCATAAGGTATATACCTTCAAGAATTGAGCTGTGACACAAATAGATATATATTCACACCTATGTTTACTGCAGCACTATTTACAATAGTAAAGAAATAAAAACAAGTCAAGTGCCCATCAGTGAATAAATGTATGGAGAAACCATGGCACACTCATGCAATGGATACTATGCAACAAAAACAGTAAAAAACGTGTGAAACATTGTATCACAAGGGTTAACCCAGGGAATGTTATGCTGAGTGAAGTCAGTCCCAAAAGGGCAAATTAAAAAAAACCAGTTATAAAAAATTAAAAGGTCACAGATGACCTTCCATACCCACTGCCAAGTACTAGATATGTGCATGAGTACTTGGTCCCTTAAGAAACTCTGGTAGCTTAATGGTTAAATGTTTGTCTGCTATCCAAAAACTCAATGGTATGAACTCACTAGCTACCCTGAGAAAGATGAAGCTGTCTGCTTCTGTATAGATTTACAGCTATGGAAATGCCGTGGGGCAGTCCTGGTCTCTTATATAAGGTTTCTATGAATTGAAGTCCACTTACAAGCAACAAGCTTTATTCTCTATCCTTATCTGTCATCACAGGAGACTAGAGCGAGGGCTGCATGGTGGAGGGGACCTGGGGGAGGGTTTGTAAAACAATGAAAGAATCTTTTCTTTTACTTTTCCATAATTTTTGGACTCATGTACTTATCACTTGTTAGTCAAATTTGTGTCTTCTAGGTTGCAACACCCCCATGATACATCTTGAAGGATATGTACATGTACAGCCAAGCACAATCAATAAGAGTGCATCTGAATTCCAAAATCAATCTCCATAATAGTCTATGTGTTTCCTACTGCCAAAGGGGCCCTTTAGAGTAGTGAGAGAAGATCTTCACCCTGAAACCCACAGCGTCCCTTTTCAGCAGGAAGTAGCTAAGAGAATACGCCGTCCCCTTTTCCTTATGACTCAGGGTGAAGTCTCTCTCAGGGAGGAGTGATAGGGAATGGCAAAGGATACACTGACAAAGAAGATTAATCAGAACTGGCTTTGACAAGCACTGTGGCATTTGGACAAGAACAAACTGGGAGGAGGGTAGAGAGAATAGTGCAACAATGAATGAGTGGAAGCCCAAAATCTCTGTAAATGTTTATGAAAATTAATAAAATATAATTATAAAAAAAAAAAAAAAAAAAAAAAAGCTTTATTCTCTATCCTTAAAGACTTGACCAGCTTTAAAAGGTTGCTCCCAGGGGACCAAAGGGGATAGATAATTCCAGAAGTTAAATTTGGGTTGGCTCTTCAAGAGCTGAGGTAAAAAGGAAGGTCAAGAAATTGAAGGAGGGCAAAGGTTCTAAACAAAGATGGAGAGGGCTGTGGAACAGTGAGGAAGCACGGAATAAAACTGGTTTAGGGAGAATAATCAGCTAAATAACTCAGTGGCGACTGGAGACAGAAGACCAGAGGACTGTGTGCATTGTGAGGCTAAAGGGAAGAACAGGCAGGACCGTGAGTGAGTTCGATTCTACAGAGGTGCAGCCAAAGAAGTGGACAATGCCTGACAGTGATGTCAAGAATTCTCTCTGCAGAGTAACCCTCTCAGCTCATTCTTTTCACAAAACCTATATGCTCTGGGGGCTTACTACACAAACCCAACAGAAATGGAAGTGGTTGCGTTTCCTGCCATGGGCCAGGCCGCTGCATCAACTCACCGTTCTCGTAGGAATGTGCAACAGGCGTCTTTGATGCTCTGTAGCTGCAGGAAGCTCGCCCCCATGAGTAAGGACTGGACATTCTGCTGGTCAATGGCAAGGTGGCCGTTGTAGGCAAAGTTGATCAGAGCTTCCAGGGCACTAGAGGGAAGAGGGGGAAGCGTGAGGTATTTTCCAGAGATGGGTGTGTGCCCACAGGAGATTCAAGCCCTAACTGAGCTGGCATGGCTTGACTGAGGAACAGATGTGCCCTGCTCTAAAAACCATTTAGCCTCCTAAATCAAGAATCCTTCAGATTCTTCCCAAGTAGAAGAAATACTTCTCATTATAACCAAAACCTCATTCTACTTCTTAACTTGTCCTTGTAGCCTAAACAATGTTACTTCAGTGGATCCTAAAAGACAAAAGTCATCACTTACAGTCTAATAACTTAATGGATCAACGGTTGTTTTCACAGTTCCTTTTTAGCCCTTTTGCCTGTACATATAGAATTATGTAATGGAGTTTTTCCTCCATCTCTCTACAACGTCTTCAGGTTTACACAGCTTCCAATTCACACTCAGTATAAAATCTGAAATTCTTCTACTAGGCTGAATGTAGTCTGGTCTCTCCCAACATCGGCATCATGCTCTTTCCCTCCTTGATCACTCTATGCCAACATGCTGAATCCACGCACACCTCCAGGCCTCTGCACTGGCCGCTTCCTCTGTGCGGAGGGCTCCTGGCTCATTCTCACACTTCAAACGTCACCTTCATCTCACCAGAGAAAGGCCCTCTCTGATGATCCTGAAATAGCACAAACTCCTGCCTTCAGTCACTAGCCTGTGTTTACCTCTATCACCTTCACCCCCCGGCGTGTGTGTGTTTGTTGACCGGGCACCCCATCACGGGAGAGCTGGCACTAGGAAAAGTGTTGCTTTCACTTCTACACAACAGTGCACATCAGAAGTCCCCGGTCAATTTCTGTTAAATGATGTATCTGGAATGGATATGGTCATTAGCACATTGAACTATGTCCCTCTCCTCCAAATACCTGTGTCTATCTTAACCTTTATGCGTTTGTAATCTCATTTGGAAATAGGTTGCTTCTGTTATGTTAATAAGTGTGGCGATGCCGATGCCTCATTGTGGTGCAGGGGATTGTTCAAAATGGCTTTCCTCACCACGGGCTTCAACTTTTCCCACATGACTGGGTGAGGGCTATGCTAATAATGTGAATGATGCAAACAGCACCTTTTGGATGGAAACATGCAAATAAAGCATATAGACTACTAATGAGGGGATTGGTCAGTTCTGTCACCCTCCGGACCGAAATCAAGCAAGTCCAGAGCAGAAAACAGGCACCTTGCTACTATCAAGACAGACAAGGAGAGAGCAGCAAGTTCTTCTGGACCAGAGATTCCTGAGCTTGAAGGAGACCCAGGTTAAGACAGCAGGCCAGACCAGATTCCTAGCAGTAGGATCAGAAAATAAGAGACTGAGGTGAGAGAGAGCCAAACTGGAATTGCCACCCCATGTCCTGAAGACCTTTGCTCAGACTTACTGGGGGGACACTGGGGGATGCTGTAACAGTCAGGGGTACAAGATCTGTGTAACACTGGCCCCACAGCCACAAGGCTGAAGATCAGGAGGCTTGCGAGCATGCCTGAGAAGACGTCCTGACTACAGGAATTGTATCTTCTTTTCCAATCTGAACTGTATAACCTGTTACTCCCTAACTAACTTCATTACTGTGAGCACTGCCCATGAGTTCCGAGCTGCCACTGTAACGGATCAGCAGACCCAGTAGCAAAGCAGCACAAGGGCCTGGCAGGGTAGTTGGTGTGAGACTTGAGAGAAGTGGTGCAGGAGTGTGCACACATGTCTAACTTCATGACATCTGGTTTTGTGCAGGTGATACTGTGGGGAAGGATTCTTCCTCCTCGTGGAGTTGGGGAAGGTCAGGAGATGCTGCTCTCACAGCAGCTGTACTGTTTTTACCTGTATGCCAATCTCTTTTGAGATACAAAAGAGAATTAACAGGGAAGTAAAAGAAGCAGAGATAGGAGGAAAAGAGATCAAACTACATGAACATGACCCAGGAACAGAAGCTCAGAGACGCGGACCTCCCCCAAGAGCTGACACAGAGAGGAAACTTTCCCTTAGAGTCAGCATTTAGACTTTGAGCCTCTTAAACAGTGAGAAAAAAAAAATTATTTTTTTAAAGCCATCCACCTGTAATATTTTTCTCCCTCTTTTAGATGGTCTAAAAAAACCAGAAGTGAACATCTGCAGAGGTGAGGATGTGCACTCAGGGTGTCAGCAGGGCCACCCACCCTCTCTCTCTGCTCTCACGGACCATCATTCCTCATCTCTTTCAGTGTCCGGAGGCCTTGGGGGTTTCTTGGCATTCTTAGGTGGTTCATCTTCACATGGTGACTCTCCTACTCTAACATGACCTCATGGTAGCTTAATCAAAAACATCTGCTAAGAAAAACCTTATTTCCCAATAAGGGCATGTTCACAGGTACAAGGGCCAGGACTCTGCTATTTTTTCAGAGAACAGAACTCAATCCATAGTATCTCCAGCCCAAATCACCAGCTTATCTCTCTGGCAAGGATCCCTTTGGCCATCTGGTAAAAGCTTTAAAGCAGTATTTTAAAACTTCTATGCCTGGACCAACACTGTGGAGCTCTGGTGGCCTAGTGGTAAGAAGCTGTGCTGTAATCCCACAGGCACACAGTTCAACGAGTCACTCTGTGGGAGATGGATGGGCAATCTTCTTCCTTGTGATTTACTGCCTCCGAAAACCTACCGGAGGGTCAGCCTTGGGTCAGTTCCAACGAGGGCACACAAACATGCCTGGCACTAACACTTTTTTTTCAGTTTGCCATATAAAGGATCTGGATCACAGAAAGCTAGGGTCGGCCTACAGGCTAGAAACTCAGGTAAGATTTTTATGTTACAATCTTGAGAAAGTCATTCTTCCGGAAGGGTCAAGGGTTTGTTCTCTAAGGCCTTGTCTTATCTAGTGCTGTACCAACGCAATTACTTTATCACTCGTGGTCTTTTCTGTTATAGCATCACACTACAGCTAAGACAGCCTGGTTCCTTCAGACACAGACCTCAGAGAAGAGCTCACAATTACCTATGAAGAATCACTTCTGTATCTTTCTTTAGAACTACCTGAAACTTCAGTAGTATGGGAGGTAAGTAATTCTTCTCAGACACTAACGCAAATTATTTTCAAGAATTTCAGAGGGATGCAGAGGATGCAATCTCCTAGCTCCTTTCCACCATGAAATGAAGAGACTAAGCAATAAATGGCAGGTTACTCACTAAGGGACAGCCTTGGTCTTGACCATCTTGTGCTTTAATTTTATAATTTATCAAGTAAAAACTGTGTCACCTGTATAGTAGCTCCCAGTCAAACACGACTAGTTCAAATTAAAGGGAACTTAATTAAATATTAAAATATAATTTTTTTCTAGTCCTTCTAGTTCCCTTTCAGGTGCTCAACTGTCAAAAGTGGTGACTAGTTTCCTTTTTGAAAGTGCAAATAGAACAAGTATTTTCAGTCACTGTAGAAAGTTCTGGGGTTCTAGACTATTGAAAGGGCAGCAAATGAAGATACTTGTGAACTATTTTGACAGCTGATATGGTTAGCAATACAGAATCAGGACAGTAAGTCTAACGTGTACCCAGTTAAAAAGTATCTCAGCCTTTAAAACAACAAGCATCTGACACTAGTTTTCATTACAAATGTTATTCTAGTAGAAGAGTGAAAACAGCACCTAAACTCCCTTCATTTCAACCTTATCTCCGGCCACTGGTCATTGTTCTAACTTGTCTGCATTATCACCATGTGTGTGACACCGTTCTAGATACTGTGTCCCGCTGTGAGCCCTCAAGGCTGTGCTGCGAAAGCAGCCTGTGAAGTCTGAGGGAAGGATTTAGTACCTTGGGTCCATTCCTTGCATGACAATCTCATCCTGCTTGCACTCCATCATGTCATTTGTAAACATAGCGTGGAAGTACGGGATCGAGGCTGCTAAGACGATCCGGTGAGCACTGAATTTGTGGTCCCCAATCTGTGGGCAAAGTAAAATACAAAGACAGAGGCGCTGAGGATCACAAATATCAAAACCCAACCTGCCAAAACACTATGAGATATCATCTCACCCCGTAAGAATACCAAAATTTAACAGAACAGCAAACAACAAATGCTGGCAAGTTTGTGGAGAAACTAAACCCTTATTCAGTGTTGGTGGGAGTGTAAAATGGTGCAGCCACTGTGGAAGGCTGTATGGCGCTTTCTCAAAAAGTTGCAAAGAGAGATACCACTTGACCCAGCAATTCTACTACTTGGAACAGACCCCAAAGAAACCAGAATCACCACCCAAGCAGATATATGCACACCCATGGTTACTGTGACTTTGTTCACAAAAGCAAAGAGTTGGAAACAACCTAAGTGCTCATCAACAAACGAATGGATAGAGAAGCTGTGGTATATTTACACAATGGAATACTATGCTGCATTGAAAAGCAAGGAACTCATGCAGTATTATTCAAAATGGGTGACCCTGGAGGACATTATGCTGAGTGAAATATCTCAGTCACAAAGGGACAAATACTGCATAGTGTCACTGTTGTAAAACGGGACTGATATAGGGGTTGGGTGGAGACTGAGAAAGACAGGATAAATTATGTATACTGCATTGAAACAGATGAGAGAGAAAATTGTTTAAAAGGTATATATGATTAGGTATTATTGTCATGACAGGAGTCCAGAATGAAGGTAGCACAGGAGAATGGACTTGAGGGGAGGGATAGTATAACAATGAAAGAATTTTTCTTTCACTTTTCAAAGAGAAGAATGAACTGGAGGGGAGGCATGGGCAGGGAGAAAAGTGCAACAATGAATGAATGGAAATCTAAAGTCTCTGTAAACTTTCACTAAAATTAATTAAAAAAAAAAATCCTGAAGGGAAAAAAAAACCCAAACCCAAACACCAAAAAAACCAAAACATCCCAACCTGCTCCTTCACAGTTTGTGCTTCTGCACACCAAAGGCATCCACTGAAGGTGGGCCAAAGAGCTTCATGATGACTGTGAATAATTTAAAATTTTACACATTTAGATACAGTTAAAAAAAATTAAA